AGCAGCAGGCTCTGGCCTGCCCCTCAGACCATAAGAGTTGTGGAGAAGCAGGAAGAATAGACCTCGGCTTGGAGGAGACAGTAGATCTGAGAAGCAGGAAAAACGGTTCTCAAAACCTGAGAAAGTGTTTCTTCTTTAGCTTCTCTTTCTGAAAACGATGCCATTAGTGGAGAACTCTTCTTCCCTCTACTAATACAAAACGAGAGAAATAAACCTTCTCCTTTAGTCCTTTCCTAACGAGATTAAGATTCGAGATTCAGGCACATTTACCCACCCTTCCCTCGAGGGAATGGGGCTCGAGCAACGCAGGGGTTAACTTTTCTGAAAACACAATTAACTTTTTCCTATCCTGCGTGGGGAGGGGAGGGATATATTTATTTAATCACTGGGGGATGGGGTGGTCTCCATCCAAATGCTTCCTCCTCCCGCAAAGGCACAGACGCGTCCTTCGCAGATCCTACGTAGGTGGAATAGGACGTGTCGTGTTGTTGGGGAGAGAGAGAAAGGAGAAGGAGAAGAAGGAGGAAAAAAAAGGTTGATAGGTTTGTGCGCGGGTCCCTCGTGCGGGCTGCGCTCCTCCTGGGTGCTATTTGACAATTCCTGCTTCTGCCATTGGTCAGTGTTGGATCAGATGGTTGTATTTCCTTCTGGCCCTCACTGGCACCTCGCCATCCCCCCTCAGCTAAAACCCAATCTCAGATATACTACTAATAGGCGCGGCGCTCGGACTATAAAACACAACAAATCATAAAGCCGGCGAAGCAGCAGCGGCCGCGCGCCTCCCCTCCCAATGAGTTCCTATTTCGTGAACTCCACCTTCCCCGTCACTCTGGCCAGCGGGCAGGAGTCCTTCCTGGGCCAGCTACCGCTCTACTCGTCGGGCTATGCGGACCCGCTGAGGCACTACCCCGCGCCCTATGGGCCCGGGCCCGGCCAGGACAAGGGCTTTGCCTCTTCCTCCTATTACCCGCCGGCTGGCGGCGGCTACGGCCGAGCGGCGCCCTGCGACTACGGGCCGGCGCCGGCCTTCTACCGCGAGAAGGAGTCGGCCTGCGCGCTCTCGGGCGCCGACGAGCCGCCCCCGTTCCACCCCGAGCCGCGGAAGTCCGACTGTGCGCAGGACAAGAGCGTGTTCGGCGAGACCGAGGAGCAGAAGTGCTCCACTCCGGTCTACCCCTGGATGCAGCGGATGAATTCGTGCAACAGTGAGTGAGACTTCTCGCCCTCGCCCAGACCCCCGCGGGTCTCCACCTCCGGGAGACAGGACTAGGAAGGCTTCCCCGCCCCCCCTTCTCCCCCAGGGTTCTAGGTGGGCGTCTCAGTGAGGAGCCGAGAGGAGATTGGGCGCCTGCACTGGGTCTCCCGCTCTGTCCTTTCGCCCTCAGGAGTTACAAAGTTTGCAAAGTCCCAGCTGCACTCGGAGCCAGGGGGAGCGAGTGGGCTCTCTGGGAGTATCAGGCCAGAGCGGGATTCCGGGTCAGGGAAGGGGGCAGGGGCTGCTGTCACGGGCTTGCCTTTCCCTTGGCGCCCCCAGCCCTGGTCGGGTCCCCCACCCAAAGACTGTTCCCTTAAAAACGGAGTGCGTCATGGGAAGGGGGCGGCGTGACGCTGGCAGAGACTTGAGTCTGTCCCGGACTGTGTTTCCCTGGGGGTCGGGGGCTGGGGAAAGATGAGGCACCAGGAAAGGGGTGGTAGTCAGAGGAGGGAGGGAATAAGGGGAAGAAAGAGAGAGGGAGCGGGCCGAGGGGGAGACAGGGAGAAGCAGGCGCCTGAGTCTCAGGTTGGATTATTTGTCGGCCTTAAGTCCCAAATTGATGTCCATTAGAAGGACACGAAAGTGAGGAGCCGTTAATGCCGACTATGGATCGATCCAAGTCATTACGGATTAAGGGCCGGAATCTATCATAGGGTGGTGGCGGAACCAGATGGATGGAAAGAAAAGATGCCGCTAGGAAGAGACACACCTGGCCAGTACTTCCCCAGCCCCTCCCCTTAGGCTCAGGTGGGATTTTAAACTGCTCCTCCCATCCCCCCATCGAGAGTCTAGACTGGAGGCGCAGGCCTGAGAGACCCGGAGGGAATCTGGAGGGGGCGCTGGAGGAGTGAGGAGGGGCAGGGAACCAGAGAGTGGAGGGCATCCCGAGACAGGCTGGAGTCCGTGTTTGAGGGTTGAGTGGGGGAGGGGGGCTCTGGCCCTGGTGACCCCAGGCCTCAGCATCTCCTTTCTGCGTAACAGGTTCCTCCTTTGGGCCCAGCGGCCGCCGTGGCCGCCAGACTTACACCCGCTACCAGACCCTGGAGCTGGAGAAGGAGTTTCACTACAATCGCTACCTGACCCGGCGGCGGCGCATCGAGATCGCGCACGCCCTGTGCCTGACTGAGCGGCAGATCAAGATCTGGTTCCAGAACCGGCGCATGAAGTGGAAAAAGGAGAGCAAACTGCTCAGCGCGTCTCAGCTCAGTGCCGAGGAGGAGGAAGAAAAACCAGCCGAATGAAGGCGCTGGAAAGGGAGGGGGAACGTGAAAGGGAGAGGCCTGTGGGGCATCGAGAGCCCGGTGGAGGCTCTGCGGGTGGGGGCGCCCGGGGACCTGCTCTCCAGCGCAAGACAGGCGGGGCCCAGCGCTCTCCTGGACGCCCCCCGCCCGCAGAGCTCTAGCTGGGGGCTGGGAGGCCGTGCCGCTTGAGCCCACCCAGCAGCCCGCTCACCCCCTCCAACCCGGTGGAACCCGCCTCCGCCCGATCAGGCTCCCCGTGAGAACTGAGGACCGAACTCACTTGGTGTTTCCTGGAAGCAGAGCAAAATACTCTTGTCCGTGTCGCGTCTCATTTCGTCCATGTCCCCCGTGCACGGTTCAATGGTAGATTCGCAGTCCCCTCAGCGGGGGCCTCGAAGACTCCCTGACCCCAGACCTCTCTCCCACCCCCTCCCCAAAGCCACTGGAAGGAGCACATACTACCTAGAAGTAAGAAGAGGAGCCTCAGAAGAAAACAAAGTTCTATTTTATTAATTTTCTATGTGTTGTGTTTGTAGTCTTGTCTTAGCTCTGGACGTGAAATACTTCGGTAATAATATTAATAATAATAATAATAATAATAAAGACGTAAAAACTCGCCGCTCAGTCACCTCTGCTCCTCCCCTGCCACTCCCCCGCCCTCACGCCACCCCATCGTCCCCGTGCCGGAAGCTCTGCAGCAAAAGCAGGAGCCCTGGTCGGCCCAGCGGGCCGACAAGACTCGGAAGTTACAGTTGAGATAAAGGCTGGAGCGGTCCCGCCCCGGCTCCAGCGCCGCGCCTCCCCGGTGCTGAGGCTCAGAACCGTTTCTCCCGGTGCAGACTTGGGGGACGGAGAAGGCCATTTCCCCTCTTATTCTCTAGCATTTCCTCGTTTGTCCGTGGCAGGAGGGCCACCATCGAGGCCCCCTCGCCTGGAGCTCCTGCAGAGACTGAGCCAGGCGGGTCTCCGGCTTTTCTGTCCTCGCGCTCGCGGAGGCCCACGGCCTTTGGCCTGTCCACATGGCCTGATCTCCGCCGGCCTTGGCACTCAGCTCCGGGCCTGTGGCTCCGGAGACTAAAGCGGAGCTACTGACTATCTCTTGGCCCGCAGCTGGAGGTTCCAGGCGCCCCTTCCTGCCTCAAGCAGGAGCTCAGCGACAAGTAGGGGAATGCGAGACCGCCGCCAGGCGCAGGGCGAAGGGCACGACTTTCCCCTGCTCCTTGGAGACCTGAAGGCAGGAGGCCAGGTGATGAGGCGGTTTGGCCATCCCCTCAACGAAAAACGACCCATTCTCTCCCCACCCCCACCCTCACCCAGGCGGCATGCTGCGGACACTGTTTTCCTTTCTTCCTCCTCCCTCTCTCCCTTTTTTATTTTTAAAGAAAATAGCCGCCCTGCAGAAGGGCCCCAGCTGCGTTGGTCTCGGGCCGCCCAGCGCGCTCAGGAAGGTGCCGCCGGCCCTCGGAACCCCTTCCCGGGAAGGCGTGGGCTGCCGGGCGGATCCTGAAACTGCCCAGCCGCCAGCGCGGGCTCTCGCGTGGGGCCTCCCGATGCAAGAGCAGTCATCTGGCAGGAGGGACGGGGTCCTGCCTTGATGTCAACCCTCTGAACCACGTTTCCATCTAAACCCCAGCCGGTGACGCGGTCGCCGCCACCTTTTTCCCCCGCGACTAGGCCGCTTAGCTGCAGCCCTGCTCATCCTCTGGGGTCCCTGTCTTGCTCTGTCATTCCCTGGGCCTGGCTAAGGATGGGGAGGAGGTCAAGAAGAGGATTCCAAACTTCTCTGGGGCCCAGAAGTGAAAGCTTCTCCTTCGAACCCCTGGCCCCGCCGTGCCGGTTGGGCCTGGACGCCTTGGCTGGGCCACTGCAGCCTGGTTATGAAGCAGGCCAGGCCGAGCTCGCGGGGGATCCCCGTTGCAACCATTGTTTTTCACACACATCTTCCAACCCTCCCCCCCATTTCCGCCCCCAACTCGGAGACTTACAAAGCCCGAGTAAGGGAAAAGCAACTCAATCTTTGATCATCTCATCCAGAGTTAAAATAATGACAGGGAGAAGGACACAAATAGACTAACTCCACTCCCAAGAAGGTGGTTAAAGGCTCAAGTGGGTCCCTCCTCTAAAAGACTCAACCCTGCTGGTGAGCCTAGGCCGGGTTTCTTTCTCGCCCGGCGGTTGCAGGGACCCAACAGGAAGGCAGCCGTCGCCGCCATGGCGGTCTGCGGCCCGCGCTCCCGCCAATCGCCGGGAGGTGGCGCGCTCTGCTCAGAGGCGGCCGCCAACCTTCTCCCTGTTTCTCCCCCTTCTCCTTTTTTCCCCCTCTCTCGGAGGCTCGCATTGAATCGGCCCTAACGATTCTCGGATCGTCATTATTTGTAACCATAGAGCATGAATTACCTCTTGAGGTCATCAGCGAGAATTTACGACTGGTCAACAAAAGCACGTGATTCCCTAACGCCCCCCCATCCCCCTTCCAACCCCCCCCCCCCATATTTGGCCGCATACATAGCAAAACGAAGTACAGTGCATCGCTATAATTCATTAATACATCATAAATCGTGAAGCACAGGGTTATAACGACCACGATCCACAAATCAAGCCCTCCAAAATCACCCAAATGAGCTCGTACTTTGTAAACTCCTTCTCGGGGCGTTATCCAAATGGCCCGGACTATCAGTTGCTAAATTATGGCAGTGGCAGCTCTCTGAGCGGCTCTTACAGGGATCCCGCTGCCATGCACACCGGCTCTTACGGCTACAATTACAATGGGATGGACCTCAGCGTCAACCGCTCCTCGGCCTCCTCCAGCCACTTTGGGGCGGTGGGCGAGAGCTCGCGCGCCTTCCCCGCGCCCGCCCAGGAGCCCCGCTTCAGGCAAGCGGCGTCGAGCTGCTCCCTGTCCTCGCCCGAGTCCCTGCCCTGCACCAACGGCGACAGCCACGGCGCCAAGCCCTCTGCTTCGTCCCCCTCCGACCAGGCGACCCCGGCCAGCTCCAGCGCCAATTTCACCGAAATAGACGAGGCCAGCGCGTCCTCGGAGCCTGAGGAAGCGGCGAGCCAGCTAAGCAGCCCGAGCCTAGCCCGGGCACAGCCAGAGCCCATGGCCACCTCCACAGCCGCGCCCGAGGGGCAGACTCCGCAGATATTCCCCTGGATGAGGAAGCTTCATATCAGCCATGGTAATTCTCGCTCTCGCTCCCTTTTTTTGTCTTCTCGGCTTTCCTTCTCTGCGTTTGGGGGGGGGGGGTGCGGGTGCCAGGAGAGCTTGGCTTTTCCTCAAATAGAGATTTATTTTTTTCCAGAGAGGGAGAAATCTCTAAGAGGGTCCTCATAGCCCGGGGGGGAGAGAGAGAAAGGTCTTTAGCTGGGGGGCTGGGAAGGAGTATTTTAATAATTTGTTCCCAGATTCGGCTTAGGTTTTATTCGCCCAGCTGTCCTAGCTTTTGGATGAAGGATGGGGTTTATATAACATGGGGAAGGTTCCTGCTTACCCCCGAAATTTTGAGACTGCCGCTAGCAAAGGAGGGGCCAGCAGTAAAACGAGCTTTCCAGGGCAAAAGTGCAGCCCTCTCCTCCCTCCCGGGGCGAGCGGCCGCCTGAGCCCAGCGAAGGGTGAGGCACAGAGAGGGAGCGAGAGACAAAGCCGGGCGCATTTGCTGCCGGCAGAAGTGGGGGCTGTAGGAGAAGGGGGTGCAGAAAGCAAGCTTGAAGGCGGGCGTCTGGAGTGGGGAGGATTGGAGCTGCGGTGAGCTGGGTGCTGGGGACGCCTGGGTCCTGCTCCACGCCCCCCTCCCACCCAGTGCCCCCTCCCTTAACCGGAATAACGTTGCCTCGCGGCTCTACTCTGTCTGCTCCAGATATGACCGGGCCTGACGGGAAAAGGGCCCGGACCGCGTACACCCGCTACCAGACCCTGGAGCTGGAGAAGGAGTTCCACTTCAACCGCTACCTGACGCGGCGGCGGCGCATCGAGATCGCCCACGCGCTCTGCCTGTCCGAGCGCCAGATCAAGATATGGTTCCAGAACCGGCGCATGAAGTGGAAGAAAGACAACAAACTGAAAAGTATGAGCCTGGCTACAGCCGGCAGCGCCTTCCAGCCCTGAGCCTGCCGGGAGGAGCCCTGGGCGGCCCAAGAGCCCGCGCCGCCCCCAGCCTGGCCCCTCCAAGCATCCCCACGCTGCCGCTGCCCCCTGGGGACCGGTCCCAGGAGCCTGCCTCGCCCCGGCCTTGTGTTACGATTTTTCGTTTGGTCTTAGGTCTTCCTGTGGCTCCCTCTCTCTTGGACTGGTTAATCTTGTTATTATTGTTAATAATAATGGTAATTATTTTCCCTCCATGGTCCCCACTCCCCTCCGCTCGCCCCAAATCCGCCAGTGTTTCTGAATGTTCGTGTCTGTGGTTGCACTCCTTCCCCCAGGAAAAAAAAGAAACTCGCATGTTTAATGTGAACTTTCCCCTCCCCATCTGTGTTCTAACTTATTTATAAAAGGATGATCGCTGTATTTTGAGTTTCAGCTTGAAACTTCTCTAAGGGGCAGCAGTTGAGGTGGGGTAGTGCCGCAGCGCCGGGCCCAGCTGAGCTGGCCTCGGAGACGGAGTCCATGACTGTGTCTGTTTCCACCCTCCTCTTCCTCCTCCCTCCCTGCTCCGCAGGCCCAAGTCTCCCAGTGGCTTGGTTCTGGGGTGGAAAGGGGCCAGGGAGGGCCAAAGAGGTGATGTTGAGAAGAGGGAAGGTAAAATAGTGAGATTTAAGTTCCTGCCGCCTGGGGAGGCCTTGCAGGGCCTGGTCTGGGAGTGTACGGAAACAAAAATAATCCTCAGTGTAAAATGTCTTGTGTATTTCTCTGTGAATCCGTGGGTCTGGCATAGAGGGCCCAAAGCTTGTACATATGGGGATAGTCTGGGTCAGACCCATCCCCTCCCCCCTACCCATTTCGCTTCCAAGACCATTTGTAGTGAGCGAGTGGATGCTGTGCTCCGTGTGAAATCTGTCTTTGCCGGGCCTGTCTCAGTGATTCGCTTTTGGTATTTGTTTGTAGCTTTCCTTGAAGTCAAATAAATGTCTCCCCTACTCCACTGCCCTTCCACTCGTCTTTTCTCTGGCGGCCTGCCTCTCCCATCACCAGGCACACCCTAGACCATTCTTGATAGATCTGGGGTGTAAGGAAGGGAAAGCAGGAGGCTTACCAGCAGCCCCTCACAGCCGCCCAAGTCCCTGCTTGGCCAGCAGTGCTTGGGCCAGGGTACAGGCTTTCATGCCTGGGGGGCTGAGAGACCCAGAAACCCCCTGTGGGGCTAGAGCTGGGGCCAAGGAAGGCTGAGCTGGATGCAACCCTGGCCTTCCACCAGCCAGCCAGAAAAGCCTCTGGAAACCTCTTCAGGGAAAGTATTTGGGCCTAAGACCTGAGCAGGAGGCCCTGGCCTTTCAGGCTTGGCACAGGCCTGCCCAGTCCTGCTGTCCCCTGCTCCAAATCCCAATTCAGCTCTGCCACCCACTAAGGCAAAAAAAATTGTAAAAATCTGCTTGATTTCAAAGGTTTCCTCTCATCTTTAGTTTTCTCTACACTTATCAGGGGCTCCCTCTCTCCAGGGGCCCAACTGACCTTCCCTCTTGATTATGAGCTGGGGTCCCTCCTAGAAGACCCCTGGTTTCCCCTCCAGCCAGACTGGCCCAGGGCCAGGGCCCAGTCCTTCTCCATCCAAGTCAGCCTCCACCCTGAGCGCAAGAGTCAAGTCTGGACACTTACCCGGTCAATCCCTTCCAGCTTGGCCCAACTTCTTACAGGACCTGGGGGGAGGGGGAGCTGGTGAGGAGGCAGCCGAGGGTCGTGGAGGTTCTACTGGGCCCTACTTTCCCCTCACCCCTTGACTTTGTTCCCCTTTGTCCATAGCAAACTATCCCAAAAGTCGCTATGACATTTAGATGTCAAATGGATAGGGGTTTTATCTCGAAGTTAGATCGTAAAAATCGCCGAGAAGTCAGACAGATACCCCTCACTGGCTCGAGAAAGTCACGTGAGGTCCATAAAGTTAGTTTTATGGTTTTGGGGAGTTGACACCGCGCGGTATATTTCACATTCTCCAGAATGTTAAGTGACACTTTAACTGCTTGCTGTGGTGGGGAAGGGGGCAGAGGTAGGTGAGCGCTCTCCTAGCCCAGAAGGCGGTGGCGGCAGCCCAGGCCCAGCACGCCCGCAGTAAGTCGCTTCCAGCTTTTGCTTTTTCCCCTTGCAATTTTGGGGCTTGGGACTGGGGAAGGAAATCTTGCCTCCGGCAGGGCTGTAGGATAATAAATAGGGGAAATTCAGTCTGCTTTTTGCACCAAGTTCTCACAAGCTGGGTGTCCGAAGTGGGGGCACTCGGTTTGATAAGGCCTCAGCAGCTAGGGTGCCTGGTTTTTATTTGCTGGAGTGTCTGGTTCTTTGTGGGGAAAGGGCTTGTGTGGGTTCCTTCAGTGCCCTTGGAAATTTAGGGGACAAGAAGGAGGGGCGTGTACTGCTGAAAGAAGGGCCCCTTGTGGGGGGCCACTTCACTGCTGGATATCTTCAGACAGACATCTCCCACCCCAGGAAAGAAAGTTTATGACATTCATTTGTCAGGGGGGTGTGGGGGCGCGCCGCTGGGCACTTTTATCTGGATACATCTGAGCTGAGAAAAAGTACCGGGAAGGCTAACGCAGCTGCTGGGGGCTGCCTTGTGCGGGGCACTCTCTGGTTTTCAGATCTTTGAACCTCATGAAAGGGGGTACCTCCAATTCTGCATGGCTTCATCAGGGTTATCCAGAATGGGTAGTACGGCACCTCTGCACGCAACTTCAGCCTGTGGGTCCCAAGCCAATCCCTCTGCTAGGCTCTAAGTAGGGTCCTGAGGTCAGAGTGGGGAGCGGAGAGAGGGGGGCAGTCCCTCAAATCCAAAACCTAAATCCTGGCCGGGAGTATGGGGAAGGGGAGAGCTTCTTCCCTTGTGTAGAGTTAGATATTTAAGTAGAACCCTGGCAATCCCTCCATAAATGAAACTTGCTCAAGAACACAGACCCCCAACTGTCGGGAGGGAAAAAAGGGACTCAGGAGCTGAGAGAGAAAATTAAAAAGGTGCTCTCTTTCTTCTCTCCTTTCCTCCTCTCTCCCCACCAGACCCTTAAAAGCCCCTTTGTTTTGTGGTGCCACAAACCAGAGGGATTTCATTATTTGACCCCCAGGGGACCTGTTATTTTCTAAGGATGTTACCCTTCTTCTAAAAAACCAGAGGCCTCTTCTCCACCAAATTGATCCCCCAATTTTAAGACCCATGGGGTCAACCACCCTGTCAGTCCTGCTTTTGCCAGCCCGCCATCTCTTGAGTTAGCTTACCAATTCCTGCGGATAGCCCCTGGAATTGGACATGTGGCACCTTAAGGGGCTTCTGATCTTTGATCACGGGGAGGGGCACAAGATTCCCTCCTTTTCCCACTGAAGGACATCTTGGCACTCTCTCCCTCTCTCTCCTGTAGCCACTCTCTGTTTCCTGAGCTCTTCAAACCCTTCCAGGCCTGACTTACAGGAGACGCTTCACAGGCTTTGAGAGCAAAGAGGACAGAAAGCTTGGGGTCCTCACCCTGATTGGAAGGCACATCTCCCCAAGAATGATAGGGCCTTTGTATTCCTTGGAAAGGAGACTCTGGTCAGCTCCCAAAGGATTCCCAGCACCACTTAAAATACTAGTAAATTTTGGAGGCATAACTTCTACAGGCTTCCACTCTGGACAAGGCAAGCGAGTTGAGTGAGGTGCAGAGGAAGAGTGCCCCAGGGGCAGAATCAGACCTGAGACCTCCTGGGAAACCCCATTCCTATTGTGCCCCTGGCCTCCCTCTCTCAGAAACCTCAGATTACCAGGCCTGCCCTTGAAGATTTTTCTGCCTCCACTCATGTCAATTCTGCTAACTCTGATAGTGTGTGGGGTGACTCGGGGACATCTGCTGGGCATATCTAGACAGATTTTCCGGAATGTTGAAGAGCAGCCCGGGTGGGGGTGCCCACTTCCACCGTGGATGCCAAAACCCTTGGAGGGTCTCCTCCTGCTCTAAGCAGACCCTGGAGAAGATGCTCTAGCTGGGCTTTCATCTTCTTTGCTTCAGCTTCTCTGGGCAAAGGTCCCTTGAACCCCAACAAGGACGCATTAGGTGAGGGGATGAGCGGGCGCGGTGCGAAGGGATTTCTCGTGCAAAGGAACTCTCTCCTCTGCCGCAGACCTGCACCCTCCCCTCCCGTCTTCCCAAAGATATTCTCTCGGACTCCCGGATTCCAGGCTGGGTCCAGGCCTCCATCCTCTGAGCTACAGGCCAGCACCCTCTGACCAGATCCTTAAGCCCATCGGCCCATCCGTCTTAAGCCCATGGGCCCATCCGTCTACCCTCAACCTGAGGCAGGGACAAGGAGGCAGGCGGCCGATGGAGATTCAGGCGGCAGTTTCCCTTTTCCTTCTGAAGCCAGCCTGATCACGACTCAGTGGACAATTTGATCTTGATTTTTTTTGTTTTATTTGGTTATTTTTTGTTTTGTTTTGTTTCTGTGTGGCCGCCGGGTGGGAGGAAGTATAAAGAAGTGTAAACAGGAAAGCCAGCGGGGCCTGGAGTTCCAAGCGTCCATATTTCATCGGCTTCCTCTCCATAACTGCCGCGGGGACACTTAACCCTTCCCTGGCTGTGAGAACGTATTCCCTGGGGGCTAGTGGGGCAGGGTGTGGGGGCCGGAAGCAAGTAGAAACTCTTCTCCAGGCCTGGTTCCTTTATCCCCAGGGTCTGGATGCTGGGGCAGGAGGATTCAGAGCAAGGGAGAAGACAGACCAGATGGCTCAGCAGAACCCCCAAACTCAGTCCCTTCCAGGACAACAGGAGAAGGCTGTAGCCTGCATGGGCTTCCCAGTGTGGGGACCAACACAGCCAGCCAAGGAGGAGAGGGCTGGCAGGAACCTGTCCCCTCTTTTAGGGGAAAGCCCACTGATCACTCTCTCCATTTTCGGAGTTTCTCAGAGTAATCAGATTTTGAGGCTGGGATCTGCCCACAGCGGGATTTATCGATTGCTCCGGCGCTGTTACACATCCATATTAATTAACCCAGACACCGCCTGGAAACCGAGCTGTTTGGGGAGGGGGAGGGGAGAAATGGGACCCCTTAAGGAGAATGGACTTTTCTCCCTAAGCGCCCCAGGGGTGCAGGTTGGAGAGTCGCTCCCTACAAGAATCACGTGGGCCTCCCCAGCTCAAAGTCCCTCGACTTCTGAGCAGGAGTAAGCGTGACTTACTCTCCACAGCGGGACTCGGTGCGCGAGTCTCCTAGAGGTGGAATAAAACACCTCCAGGACTCTTCCTTGTCAGAGTTAGATTACCCCAGCCCTTCGGGGGATGGATCTGGTGGATGTTCTCAGCACGACCTTTCTGGAGGGGTTAACACCTCCTCCCCACCTTCCTTTCAACTTCCCCAAGGTAGAAGCTTTTTATGATTTTCCGGCTTGTTTGGTTTTAGTGTTTGTTGGTGGTTGTAGCGTTGGTCTTCCCCTTCCTCCCACCCCTCCCTCCAAAAAGTGATTAAAATCTGTTAAAGGATTTAATTAAGAGAATTAAATGAAAAGGAAGGAGGCGCAAATGAGTTGGGGGAAAAACCCACACCAAAGCTATTCGCAACGATTAAATCGCCATTTTAACCATATAATGGAGTTTGCATCCTGAAAGGGGAAATCAACGCTCATATCTCATCAATAATTCATAGAGTCCGGGATCACGCAGAGGTCAGCAGACGGGGCCCTGAGCGTTGGCCTGCTTGGGGCTCCGAGCGGCTGCCTCATATATTACCCTCCGGCCACACCGCGGCCACCTCCACCACTCCCAGCCCAGGGCATGGGGCATGCTGACAGGTTTAGGCGGATTTTTCATTCTTTCTTTTGTTGAATTTACTGAGACCAGTTTGCGGGCTCCAAGAGGAAGTGGGGAATTTAGGGGACTGGAGAGGATTGGACTTCGGGCAATTCGAGAGCTGCTGGACCCGAATATCATCACCATCCCAAGTTTTAATCTCTCTCTTCCCCCTCTTTCTTCTTTTCTTT